ATCGTCTCTGTTAGAGGCATTTCGATGCTCATTCATGCGGACTGCAAGATCTCTGCCTGTCTCGCCTACATATTTCTTGGGACAGAACCCACAGGGGATAGTGTAGACGCCTGCTGTAGAAGTTAGAGGTGTGAGGCTGCGTTTCGTAGTGAGGTCTTTGATAGATGATGTGTTTATGGTGGAAACATTGATGTTACTCATAGCAAGTGCCCGGCGAGTATTCGTGGCAACATCGCCACATGGGAGTACTATGAACTGCTTAGGGGGCTGTTCCATGGGCGGTTTGTTGAGGATAGCTTGTGCCTTGAGTCTGCAATCTCGGATGAAGGAAGATGGGAACTGAAGACGTGTGAAGGCTTGTGTTATGTAAGTGCATTCTTCTTCTAGAAAACAAGGGCTGGAGATGCGAAGAGCTCTCAAGAAGAAGCCAGTGAGGACTCCTCTCTTAGTGCGGGTGTCTTGGTGTGATAAAAGTGTATAAGATCGTTTACTACCGGCATCAACAAGAAACATCATCTGGTGGATATGATAACCAAGAACCAACCTTTTGGAGGCTCCGAGTTTCAAAAAGGCTTTGTTCAAGGAATTATCACTGCTGCAGCTACTGAGCCTTCAAGACCGGTCATTCCAAGAAGATACATCCAAGCACTCAGGAACTTGGTCTACAACGATGATATCGTCATTACAACCGCTGACAAAGGAGGTGGTGTGGTGTTACTCAACACTGTCGACTACAACAATAAAGTTTTAAATCTTCTCAACGATGCCAACACATACCAGCCTGTATCGAAATCAGTGCTACTTCAAAGTACCCAGACTTTCCTTCAAAAGGTTCGTAGCATCTTACGAAAATCAGAACAAGGCAAAAAACTACTTAAACTTTTACCAGGTCAACCGAAACCAGCACGCCTGTATGGCCTTCCTAAGACACACAAACCTGGCATCCCACTATGGCCTATCACTTAGGGCATAGGGAGTGCACCACACAGACTACCGGCCACCTTGCCAAATACCTTTCAAGCGCTTCTGGGCACCATCAGTCAAGCCCACCTCAAACACTCAGGTGACCTTCTCTCCCGAATTTCCAACCTGAATGTCAAAAACAAAAGCATGGCTTCCTTCGATGTCACAGCCCTCTTTACCAACGTTCCTACTGACGCTGCAATCAACATTCTGAGACAGAGGCTCACTGAAAACCACGACCTCCCTTTACCTCTTCTAGATTTCATCAATCTAGTGGAACTTTGTGTTAATTTCAACTTCTTCAAGTATCAGGACAACTGTTACAAACAGTGCTTTGGGATGGCAATGGCAGCCCGCTTAGTGCTGTGCTTGCCAACCTCTTCATGGAAAACCTGGAGACAGAGAAATTCAGCCCCTCATTCCCAACACCGTTACCTGGCTAAAGATACGTTGATGATATATTGGTTTTTCTATCCGAGACGTCTCAATATCCAGGCCCTTCTCAACAAGATCAATGCAGTTGAACCATCAATAAAGTTTACACTTGAACTCGAAAATGATGGCAAACTTCCTTTCCTCGACGTTCTACTGTGCAGATCTCCCGACAGTGACAAACTCTCTTCAAAGTGTACAGAAAAACCTACCAACAAGGACGATCTTATACACTTTTATTCACACCAAGACACCCGCACTAAAAGAGGAGTCCTCATTGGCTTCTTCTTGAGAGCTCTTCGCATCTCCAGCCCTTGTTTTCTAGAAGAAGAATGCACTTACATAACACAAGCCTTTACACGTCTTCAGTTCCCATCTTTCTTCATCCGAGATTGCAGACTCAAGGCACAAGCTATCCTCAACAAACCGCCCATGGAACAGCCCCCTAAGCAGTTCATAGTACTCCCATGTGGTGATGTTGCCACGAATACTCGCCGGGCACTTGCTATGAGTAACATCAACGTTTCCACCATAAACACATCATCTATCAAAGTCCTCACTACGAAACGCAGCCCCACACCTCTAACTTCTACAGCAGGCGTCTACACTATCCCCTGTGGGTTCTGTCCCAAGAAATATGTAGGCGAGACAGGCAGAGATCTTGCAGTCCGCATGAATGAGCATCGAAATGCCTCTAACAGAGACGATGTAAGGTACGCCTGTGTCCTCCACAGAGACTCCACGGGGCATTTGATGAACTGGAATGAGACACAACTCGTTCTCAACGAACCAGACCTCAGACGCCGACGGTGCCTAGAAGCCTCACTAATCGCCGTCACCGACACTATAGAACGCAACACTGGAAACTACAAAATTTCAAAAACATTGGCATACATGATACTTAAGCAGCACCAACCCAACAACACAGGAGTCACATGATTTCATCGTCTACCCTTCCTCATCATAGGTAGAGGTTGCTTTGATAAGGACCTGCCTCGCATGGGCCAGTAGGCCTTCTACAGTGTTCCTCCATTCTTATGTTCTTATGACATTCCTCAGGTCACGTGCGTCACACCTCACTCTCCGCCTATATATATATAATGTCTTTCTACCTCTGTATGTAAAATAACAGTGGTTATAAATGACCATAATTTTTAAAGGGGTGGACCGGTAAGCCAGCGGAAGGCCTCGGTCAGATGACCAAAAGCTCCAAAGGCGGGTCATCATCTGACTAAGACCCTCGTCAGGAAACATTTGTCCTGTTTCTTGACGAACCTTACCTAACCTAACCTCTGTATGTTAGAAGTGATCAAGGTCCCAGGACCGAAACGTTTTCTAATAAATATGTCATAGTGTTTGCTTACGTGTCTTTCTAAACCAACAACAGATCTGCAGCAGAGTAACCTTTCGTGAAGCCAAAATGACGGTCACAAAGTAGTGAGTGTTAATTTAAAAACTCTGTCATTTGTCTTGAGATTATTGTCTCAAGGATCTTTCCAGTGATTGACAGGAGCGACACTGGTCTGTAGTTGCTGATTTCTGCTCTGCTCTTCTTTTTGTGAACAGGGACTACATTTGCCTCTTTCCACAGAGAAGGCCATTTACACTGTATTGGGCTCACCTTGTCTGGGCCTCACCTATTCTTGGTCAAGCGATATAAGAAGGAAATGCAGCTCCTCCTGTTTTATTGTCACCGCTGACAATTTTGACACAGTTCTTACAGCTAGCTGGATCAGGAACTTGTATTTTGGTAGTAAGTGTTTTCTGTGTGTGTGTGTTTGTGTGTGTATGTGTGTGTGTGTGTGTGTGTGTGTGTGTGTGTGTGTGTGTGTGTGTGTGTGTGTGTGTGTCTGTCTGTCTGTCTGTCTGTCTGTCTGTTTGCTCACCTCGCCTATATTAGGTTACAAGGATCGAGTCTCTTGGCTGGTCATTAGTACGTTCACTATCTTCTGGCTTCGAGAGCTCTATCGTACCTCTTCTTAAAGCTGCGTATGGATGTTCCTTCCACCACTCTGTGTGTGTGTTTGCTCACTCATATGCACTCTTCTTTATGTGGTTACAAGGATCGAGTCTCACTGTTGGTCACTATGAGGTTCACTCCTGGCTTCGAGAGCTCTATCGTACCTCTTCTTAAAGCTGTGTATGGATCCTGTCTCCACCACTCCACCGTGTGTGTGTGTGTGTGTGTGTGTGTGTGTGTGTGTGTGTGTGTGTGTGTGTGTGTGTGTGTGTGTGTGTGTGTGTGTAGGAACCAAGGTCAGGATGACAGCAGGCAGCCAGATGCTCAACTATTATAAGGTCAGTTGTCAAGCTCACTCTCTCTGCAGCCACACAGGGAGACTGATGAAGGGCACTTCATCCAAGAAATCGAGATACCCTCCTCTTCCTCGGATCAAACTTGATTACCCTCATTCCCCAGGCATTGTGTGACCCCCTGACAGCTGTAGGAACATGTGCATCTCTGGGAACTACTGCAGCTTTGTGAAGACGGGCACTTAGTAACTAGGTATGAGTGTGTGTGTGCTGGGTATGAGTGTACTCACCTATTTGTGGTTGCAGGGGTCGAGTCTTAGCTCCTGGCCCCGCCTCTTCACCGGTTGCTACTGGGTCTCCTCTCTCCCCGCTCCATGAGCTTTATCAAACCTCGTCTTAAAACTGTGTATGGTTCCTGCCTCCACTACGTCATTTTCTAGGCTATTCCACTGTGTATGTATGTGTGTGTGCTGGGTATGAGTATATGTGCTGGGTATGAGTGTGTATATGCTGGGTATGAGTGTGTATGTGCTGGGTATATGGTACGTTCGCACCACACTGTAGCATTTACACATGTTACGGGGTATAATCCGCCATATTGGCGGTCAAGCGCGTACTAGCAATGTTTATCATTCGTGAGTTTCAACAAGCCACTTTAAAACACTATACACTGTATTACTAACACTTGAAAACTCTGAATTCCGAAGCATTAATAAATTAATTTTTGTGTATCGTCACAGTATAGAACATGTAACAAAAAAAGTCGTACCTCCAGCAGCTATTTTTTGTGCCTTTCGCAGCCTCATCCCGTGAATGGTGGCATAATAAAACGGATATAATGGGGTTACAGAGATAGTGGGTTTTTGTCAGCACCGCTGGACGGACAGTTACTCGCATCATTTAGATACAAGTCATTTCACATGTTAACCATACCACGGGTGGGGATAGAACCCGCGATCACAGTCATAAAACTCCAGACCGACGCGCTAGCGTCGATCTGGTTTGTTTGCAATCGTGTCATTACGATTTCGTGAGTTATTTCACATACTCTTAGTTATCCTATAAACCTCTACATAGTGGCATTTTTTCGTACTTAGGGATTGAAAAGGCGAATCCTTGAGTAACACATGGAAAGTCCTTCACTCTACGTGTTATTTAATTTTGGAAGGACTTTTTGATCATAGAAAGACTTACATAGGGTGGAGGAGCTTCGTAAGAGATCTGACTACATTACTGCCTCATAATAATCGTCTGCTCGGGTGCAGTATGCAAACATTCCATTAAAAACAATATTACCACTGTCACTATCGATCATTTACTTGCCTTTGATTTACCTTTGATGAGTTCCGAGAGTTTTTCCTACTTCCAGAGCCCGATCTTTAGCCAGGCTCGTCTGATGCTTGCTATAATCTCACAAAAAAATTCATCTAGCCAGTGTAAAGTGTGGATACAATCTCATGATTTCGGTTATCTTATCATTAACAGGGAAATGTTCGTCATTTCCTGTATGGTTTATACATGTGTGTCTGGTATAAACCTTGGTAATAAATACCGACAAGTTGGTTTAGAAAGACACGTAAGCAAACACTATAACATATTTATTAGAAAACGTTTCGGTCCTGGGACCTTGATCACTTCTAACATACAGAGGTAGAAAGACATTATATATATAGGCGGAGAGTGAGATGTGACGCACGTGACCTGAGGAATGTCATAAGAACATAAGAATGGAGGAACACTGTAGAAGGCATACTGGCCCATGCGAGGCAGGTCCTTATCAAAACAACCTCTACCTATGATGAGGACGGGTAGACGATGAAATCATGTGACTCCTGTGTTGTTGGGTTGGTGCTGCTGAAGTATCATGTATTGGCATACATGATACTTAAGCAGCACCAACCCAACCACAAAAGTTTAACTTTTATTCCGTTCTCAGTATTTTATGCAAATATGTGGCCTCGTTATGAGGATAGGCAGTCAGATACAATTAAACTGATTGTAGTTTTAAATATGTAGGCTTAGTTACTGCTGTACTAAATAATAATGACATTTTACATCAGTATAGGTTGCATTTTGGGGACAAAATTGACCTAATTTACCCGAAATCCTCTGCATAACCAGGGGCTTTCTATATAGTAGTATGACATTAATGTCAGCTAGGCCTGTAAACATACATTATACATGTACTTACAAAAATAAATATTATTATTATTGCATATAGTGTAATTTAATTATTACTTAGTACAGTATTAACTTAATAAAAATTACTTAAATTACGTTTGTGGATACAATAATGACATCTGTATGGCATATGGCTTGGTAAATTTATCACCCGCAGTCGATGTTGAAGAAAAGCTGCGTGTTTTGACCGCCAACATGGCGGCCAGTTGCTCGAGTCACGTGACGGCAAACACAGGAGCCGCAGGGAAGTCCAGCGTTCCAGGGAAAGGCTCAGGTGCCCACGCCTTGGGAACAAGAACACCTCGTCCTTTCCCTGACCTTCCCGTGTAAAAGTTGCCTGCAACAGTTAAAACCTTTCCTTAATACATGTATCGTCGCAACCCTGCTCGTTTTCCTGTTTCTATCAGTGTGCAGTATTTTCTATTATTATGTGGCATTTAGCAGGCATGCCCCTACTTTTGAGATACAAATTATGTCTTTTTTTTTGCAATAATATCTGTTTCCTGTACATAAGTGAGCCTTAGTTCAGTATTATTTATGTTTCTGCATATACAATGAGTCTTAATAATATCTGTTTCCTTTATATCCAATGAGTCTTCGTATGTTTTCTTCGTTACTTACCTACTGTTTGTCTTTTTATTTGTTAAATTTAAGTGCTAATTATTAAGCTACTTTAGGTCATTATAAAGTGCAGAGTTATAGGGTGTTCTGCCAGCCCTTTCCTTCTTTCCCAGGATGGTACCCAATAGTCTGCTAGCACCCAGGTGCTACCTTTTTATCGCTACGTGAACAGGGGTAACAGGGGCAAGAAAACATGCTCTGTGTCACTACCTACCTTGTTGATCAGCAGTTAACAGAGTGGCCTGGCCACGAGACTGGGAAAACTCCCGAAACAGGTCACAGGTCAGGTCAGTATGGAAGCCAGTTGGGAAAAGACTGTACAAGGGAGCTAAGAGCCACCTTTTTTGTGTGTGTGTAGAGGGCGTGTTTTTTTAGTTTTAATTTTAGTCGTTTCTCGCTTCTTGTTTTTAGTGTTCGTGAGTCATTGTCTTGTCATGTCTTGGTTCACTTCCTCTGCTCCTCTGTACGGCGTGTCACACAAACATCCTGGGCACACATTCATGACTAAGTCTCAGTAAAGGGGATCCCATGCCATGGGCTCAGCACCTCACCATCACAGTGAGTCCTGACTGACTCACCTGAGTAACGGGAATCCCTTGCGGTGGGCTCCGCACCTCGCCCATCACAATGGGTCTTGACTCACTCCGTGGGTTCAGCACCTCGTCCACCACAGTATATTACAATATAGCCACCCCATCCTGGCCCTCTTGTCTTCGTTGCCTCTGTGAAATAGGTAAAACAGTGATGAATTACACACGTGCAGCATCTGATTATCTTTATTTTGTAGACGTTTCGCTAACCAGTGGATTTTATCAATACAGTATAGGGACATAAACGGAAGACTGAAGAAGAGGAGGTAATCAGTCCCTCAGCCTCGCAGAATTATATACAGAAGATAGTAGATGAGGTAATCAGTCCTTCAGTGGTATCCGTACCGACAATTTCATCGGTATTGTATACCATTGTTATACTACTTTTCAGACATCTTGGTACATATGACATCTACACGACCTACTAGTTAATCTCTAGCCTAACTCTTCTATATGACTTATTTCCACTGATAGGTCCCGCCTACCACTGACAATGTCTTCATCTGCTACACTTCATCTGACTCTAGTATATAAGCACCCATCTTCCTGCCTCTACGCCAAGTTCAACAAAACTACGGTGCTCGACACTTGCTCCTAGGCTGAGGGACTGATTACCTCACCTTCTACTGTCTCCTGTATACGTATAACTCTGCGAGACAGAGGTACTGATGACCTCTTCTGTAGTCTTCTGTTTATGTCCCTCTATCGTATTGATAAAGCCATTGATTGGTGAAACGTCTACAAAATAAAGATACCCAGGTGTTGCTCATGTGTCTAATTCATCATCTTGTAGGTATTATATACCATTGCTATACTAGGCGAGACTGTTGGGTACTTCAAGGCACAGCAGAAGACATCAGTGCCGGGTCACCTCATAGACAAGGCCCGGGTATGGACTACAGCACACATCGACATACAGTGAGGCAGAGTTACAGCTGAGACTAAATTTACTTTCTCTTTGTGGGTGAAAGGTTATAAAGATGATAGGCTTAATCTGTTTAAAGCCTATCCACTGCACTAAGATTCTTAAGGCCTAGGCATGCTAGTGGCCTTTGTAATTAATATTTTATAACATGTAAACCACACATTGTAAGCTTTACAAGGAAATAAGGATTTTTACTTTCTATTTTTTTATATCGCCTTTACACCAGCAGTCAAAAGTACTTTAATGTTTAAAATGCGAATTAAGGCAACCTCTCAGTGTATATGCACTGAGACATACCTTTTTGTGTAGATAGGGTGAGATGCATCCCTCTCGATATATATATATATATATATATATATATATATATATATATATATATAAGAGAGAGAGAGAGAGAGAGAGAGACAGAGAGAGAGACCTCTAACCTTGAGGAATGGACGGGGTGGGAAGCTGGATTCTTACACACGTCTGCAGGCTTGGAGAAAGGGTTTATTTTAAGGTCACTTGAGGTTAGTAAGGGTCACGTACGGCTCTTGTTTTATACAGTTGTAATGGTACCATTATAAACATGTGCAAAACTTGCTAGTATAACGTTTAGCTACTAGGTAATGGAGGCATCAAACAGTAACAATCTATAACGAAGAAAAGACATCTTTTAGAATTAGTTTTTACGGGACAACGTTTCACTCTATGAAGAACTTAGTCATAGTAAAACTTTGTCCCCGTAAAAGCTTATTTTACAATCTCTCGCTGTTTCGTATTGTGGGGAGTACACCATTTGCACCAGTAACTGTGCTCGTATTTTTTTTTTTTTCAAAATTTTCGTAAATAGTGGCGTCTGGTATGAGCTGTAGCAATAATGGGGTCATATATGGTGGTCATGTGGGTGACGTAGAAGACTGTGGTGGTGGGGGGGTTACCGTCACATACAGTGGTCAAGTGGGTGACGCAGACAGGTGGTGGGGGTCACCCTCACATACAGTGGTAAAGTGAGTGACGCAGACAGTTGGTGGGGGTCACCGTCACATATTGTTGTCAAGTGAGTGACGCAGACAGAGTGAGTTGGTGGGGGTCACCTACGCGTTGACATTTTTGTTGAGGCTGGCGTTCTAAAGGTTGATGTGGTCGCATTAACGTCTAACCCAGACGAGTCAATAAGGGACGGAACAACAACTTTTTTGTAAGCAGTTCAGTCTTCAAGCATTTTTCAAAAACTCACCACTGTCTGTGGTATAACAGTCGGCTCTCTCATAAACTTCCTCTATTTAGTACAATTTTTCATAATTGGAATTGAAAACAGTGCTTAAAAATTGAAATGCACGCATTTTGATGGCTATTTCATGAAGTATTCAATTTTGGATATACTTATTCAGTCGAGTTTACGACAAAATGCACAATACTGTCCCCTAGGCCAGTATAGCGCAGTGAAAAGTGTATTTTGAAAGAATACAGTGTATATCCTTGAGATAAACAGTGTACAGCACTACATAAAAGGAAATTAAATAATAATAATAATAATAATAATAATAATAATAATAATAGTGAAGTGTGGCAATGTGGGTAAGTCTTGCCCTCACACCCACCCTACACCCACCACCCACATACTGCAAACTTGGTTCATATAAATACATCTTGCATATTACTGGCACCAGCAAGAGAAAGGTAAAGTGGAAATCAGTTTATTTCTGTGGCATACAGAGTGTAGTAGGATACAGACAGGATGTCAGCACAGCATATCTGTGGGACATGTAAAAAAATCCTTGGAAGGAAATCCAGAATCACATGCAATCTATGCTCTTCCAAACACCATATCTCTTGTACTAGACTAAATACAGCCTCAAAAAATGACCTCGAACTAGCAGGTATCAGAAAGGTACTAAGGAGAGTAATAAATGATAAAAATAATCAAGAAAACAAAGATGACCTCTTGGATAGTCTACCAAAAATATATAAAACATGGGAGCAAGAGATAGTGTATCAAAAAATGCAGAATGCCCATACCACAACAGATGACTCGAAACTATCTAGTCACCCACATAGTGCTAAACCAGACCCATCCCCCAGTCATAGCACTAATACCCACAGTGCTGGTGCTGGCCCAGGCTCAGCCCCCAGCCCCAGTGCTGACTCAGACCCAGCCCCCAGCCTTACTGCCAGCCCAGACTCTACTAGGGACCCTACCACAACCACCACTAAAACCGTAAATATACAACCATCATTGCACAAGACCGGTGGCCCACAGTACAGATGTTGGAGAGGAGTCTCCTCCTTCTTCCTCTACTGAGGAAAGATGGAATCCAGGACGGGGTGGCCCTGGCTTGGATAATGAGGATTATAGTGCAGTCCCAGAACCTGCAGAAATTGACAACACACCTCCCAACAGTTCTCAACCAAAGGTGAATTTGTGCAAATATTATGCTTGGGGCATCTGTAAGCATGGAATATCAGGAAAAAAATGGGACATGCAACTTTGAGCATCCCAAAAAATGTAGCGACCTCCTGTCTAAAAGAGTGTCGTTCTTCTTCCTGTACTTTCCTTCACCCAAAAATGTGTCACTCCTCGGTCCTCCAGAAGCAGTGTTACAACATCGACTGCCCTGCATACCCTGCATGCCAGATTTCGGACATTACCCTAACTTCGATAGATTTCGAAAAAGCCATTGACAACATGCCCATGCACTTAGCCCCGGGCCCAGACTCATGGAACTCTGTTTTCATTAAGAACTGCAAGAAACCCTTCTTGCGTGCCCCAAGTACACTATGGAGGAGGAGCTTGGACATGGGTGAAATTCCAGTCACTTAAAACAACGGATATAGCCCCACTCCATAAAAGTGGCAGCAAAGCATTAGCCAAGAACTATAGACCAAGAGCTCTGACGTCCCACATCATAAAAATCTTTGAAAGAGTGCTAAGAAGCAGGATTGCAAATCACCTGGATTCCCAAAATCTGCACAATCCAGGGCAACATGGGTTCAGGGCAGGTTGCTCCTGCCTCTCACAACTACTGGATCTCTATGATGTGAAGAGCTCTGTACCACAAGGCACAGTACTCGCCCCCATCTTATTCCTTATCCTCATATCAGACATAGACAGAGATATACATCACAGCACCGTATCATCCTTTGCGGATGATACTAGGATCTGCATGAGGCTGTCATTGCTGAGGACGCGGTTAACCTCCAAGAAGATATAAACAAAGTTTTCCAGTGGGCAACGGTCAACAATATGATGTTCAATGAGGACAAATTCCAACTACTCCGTTATGGAAAACTGGAGGAGATAATAACTAGAACAGAGTATACTACAGACTCTGACCATACAATAGAGTGGAAAAATAATGTAAGGGACCTGGGAGTAGTAATGTCTGAGGATCTCACTTTCAAGGATCACAACAGTGCCACGATCGCACGTGCAAAGAAAATGATAGGATGGATAATGAGAACGTTCAAAACGAGAGATGCCAAGCCAATGATTCTTTTCAAATCACTTGTTCTCTCTAGGCTGGAATACTGTTGTACATTAACATCTCCATTCAAAGCAGGTGAAATCGCAGATCTAGAGAGTGTACAGAGATCCTTTACTGCACGTATAAGTTCTATCAAGCACCTTAACTACTGGGAATGCTTGAAAGCACTTGACTTGTACTTGCTGGAATGCAGAAGGGAGAGATATATCATAATCTACACTTGGAAAATCCTGAAAGGAATGGTCCCAAATCTGCACACAGAAATCACTTCCTACGAAATAAAAGACTGGACAGGCGATGCAAAATGCCCCCAATTAAAAGTAGGGGCACCATTGGTACACTAAGGGAAAACACCATAAGTGTCCGGGGCCCAAGACTGTTCAACAGCCTCCCATCAAGCATTAGGGGAATTGCCAATAAACCCCTGGCTGCCTTCAAGAGAGAGCTGGAGAGATACCTAAAGTCAGTGCCGGATCCGCCGGGCTGGGGCTCGTAGGGACTGCGTGGGGGCCAGCAGTAACCCCTATTGATCAGGCCCTGACCATGGGGGAGGCCTGGTCAGGCCCGGGGCCGCGGGGGCGTTGATCCCCGGAATAATCTCCAGGTAACCTCCAGGTAGGCCTACTGCTGAACAATTCAGTTACTCGACGCTAAATTTACATAATGTACCATTTTTATATCCCTACAAAATCTTGTACAAATTCAACGGTTTAATATTGTAATTTTCCGAAAGTATGACGACCAATTACCCTGGGCGCTATTTACTGGGTGACGGAGGCCAGAGCAAATTTCCTATGCCTCACTAGATTAGGACTGCCAAAAGAAACAAACCCGACAGAATAAAGACCCTAGGATTCATACGGGCTTGGTCTCGTAGTGACTGCGTGCGGCAAGAACACATAGTTGATCAGGCCCTGATCCATCGGGAGGCTGTCAAGGACCGGGCCGCGGGGGCGTTGACCCCGAATAATCTCAGGTAACCTCCAGTAGCTACTGCTGAAACAATAGTTACTCGCGCTAAATTACATAATGTACCATTATAGATGCCTACAAAATCTGTACAAATCATACGGTTTAATATGTAGATTCGGAATATAAGTTTATCGTACAGTCCACTTACCCTGAGGCGCCTATTTACTGAAGGTACAGAAGAGGCAGTCAGTGCAAATCTTTTCCTAGCCTCCTGTGTCTACTGACTGCCAAAGAACCAAACCCGACTGGAATAAGCCGTAGGAATTAATTTAGATAATTTTCTATAAAAACCAATAATGCTGCGATTGTGGTTAAGACGGGCTAGAGCTGAGACTCTGACCCTCGCAAACACTCAGTGCTGAATAGATATGTGTACATTACGTGCTTCAACAAATCAATGACAGAGCTGTTAGTGAGTACGAGAAAATAGATGCAATCTCCTCCTCACCCTAGAAGGTGTAGAAATGAAGACAGTAGATGAGGCATCAGTCCCTCATCCTAGGTTCCACACCTTAGTCCTGACCTGATTATACACTATGCTGCTGCATACAGCTCGGTGATATTGAAGAAAAATATGAGGGGATCTAGATATTTCCCTGTGACTCCCTGACGTCATTTGGTAATTTAACTTTAAACAATATGTATGCGTGTTCAGTTACATTTACCTCAGTGTGTGAAGCTAAAATACCACTCCAACGCTATCTGAATTTGGCCTGACCTCTGATTAAGGAATTGGAAACTGCCCTGTTTTCCTCGGATGAAACCTGATGCTTACCATTTCTAGATCTGTATGACCTTCATGTGCTCAGTGCTGTTCAGAATGATAATATAAATTATTATTATAAAATAGCAAATCCGCCTGTGTAATGGCTGCTGCTGCTGCTGCTGTTGCTGCTGCTGTGCTGTTGCTGTTGCTGGCTGCTGCGCTGCTGTGCTGCTGCTGGCTGCTGCTTGCTGACTGCTGTTGCTGTTGCTGTTGCTGCTGCTGCAGCTGCCTGTTGCTGCCTGCTGTCGCTGCTGCTGCTGCTGCTGCTGCTGCTCGCCGCCGCCGCTGTCGCTCACGCCGCCCCCGCCGCACCCCGCCACCACCACCACCGCGCACCACCCCACCACCACCGCCGCCACCACCACCACCCCACCACCACCACCCAGGCCGCCGCCCACCACCACCACCACCACCACCACCACCACCACCACCGCACCACCGCCGCCGCCCACGCCACCACCACCGCCACCACCACCAACCGCCA